CCGTGAAATAACTGCTGTTTCTGCCGTATATTTTTTTCTTTATTTTTACCATTTTTTTTTTTACATCTGTAGTGTAACTTCTGTTTATATAAGTTACGTTATCGATTAAGATCAACATCATTATCATTTTAATTATTCATCGTTAAAATAACTGATAAGCATCGCAGCGTCAAAGTTTACAGTATTTTGTAAAAAAAAAAAAAAAAAAAATAAATGATAAAATAATAATAATAATAAAAAAACTAACAAATTGAAAAATTAATATAATTGAAGGAATACATTTCTGATAAAATACTCTTTCGATTCGTTACAGCGCGAGTGAGAGGGATATGATGATCGAGGAGGAAGAGAAGGAAGAGGAGGAGGAGGAGGAGGAAGAGGAGGAAGAGGAGGAAGAGAGGAGGAGAGGAGGAAGAGAGGAGAGGGGAGAGGAGGAGGAGGAAGAGGAGGAGGTGGAAAGGTGGAGGAAGAGGAGGAGGAGGAGGAGGAGGAGGAGAGGGAGGAGGAGGAGGAGGAGGAGGAGGAGGAGGAGGAGGAGGAGGAGGAGGAGGAGGAGGAGGAGGAGGAGGAGGAGGAGGAGAGGAGGTGAGCGCTAGGAAATGGAGGAGGAGGAGACTGAAGATTAGGACATGAAGGAGGTTCGAGGAAGAGTGAGGAGGAGGAGAAAGGAGGAGGAGGGTGAGGATTAAGGACATGGAGAGGTTCGAGGAAGAGGAGAAGGAGGAGGAGGATTAGGACATGGAAGAGGTTCGAGAAAGGAGGAGAAGGAGGGAGGAGGGAGGAAGAGGGTGAGGATTAAGACATGGAGGAGGTTCGAGGAAGAGCAGGAGGAGGAGGAGGAAAGAGAAGGAAGGATGAGAAGGAGGAGGATTAGGACATAGAGGAAGTTCGGGGAAGAGGAGAAGAGGAGGTGGAGGAGGAGGAGAGGACATGGAAGAGGTTCGTGAAAGGCAGGAGAAGGAGGGAGGAGGGAGGAAGAGGTGAGGATTAAGACATGGAGAGGTTCGAGAAAGAGGAAGAGGAAGAGGAAGAGGAGGAGGAGGAGGGGGAGAGAAGAGGAGAAGGAAGGATGGGGATTAGGACATGGAGGAAGTTCGGGGAAGAGGAGAAGAGGAGGGTGGAGGAGGAGGAGGACTTGGAGGAGGTTCGAGGAAGAGGAGGAGAAGGAGGAGAGAGGGATGGAGATAAGGGTGGAGAGGTTCGAGGAAGAGGAGGAGGAAAGGAGGGAGGAGGAGGAGGAGAAAAGGAGGGAGGAGGAGGAGGAGGAAAAGGAGGAGGAGGAGAAGGGAGAGGAGGTGAGGATTAAGACATGGAGGAGTTCGAGGAAAGAGGAGGGAGGAAGAGAAGGAAGGAGTGACGAGGAGGAGAAAGGGTGAGGATTAGGACATGGCGGAAGGAAGAGAGGAGGAAGGAGGAAGAGGGAGGAGGAAGGGAAGGGAGAGGGAGAGTGTGAGGATTAAGACATGGAGGAGGTTCGAGGAAAGAGGAAGGAGGAGGAAAAGGAGGGAGGAGGAGAAGGGAGGAGGAAGGAAGAGGAGGGTGAGGATTAGGACATGGAGGATGTTCGAGGAAGAGGAAGAGGAGGAAAAGGGAGGAGGGAGAGGTATGGGATTAGGCGTGGAGGAGGAAGAGGATGGAGGAGGAGGAGGAGGAGGAGGAGGAGGAGGAGGAGGAGGAGGAGGAGGAGGAGAGAGGAGGAGGTGGAGCAAGGAGGAGGAGAGAGAGGGTTAGGAGCAGAATGGAGGAGGAAGAGGGCAAAGAGGAGGAGGAAAAAAGAGGAGGTGAAGGAAAATAATGATAATAATCATGATAATAATAATAATAATAATGATGATGTTGAAGAGGAGGAGCAGATGGAGGAGGAGGAGATGGGAGCGGATTAGGACATGGAGGAGGGTGAAGGAGGAGAGGAAAGGTGAGAATTAGGACATGGAGGAGGGTGGAGGAGGAGTAGGAGGAGTGGTGGTGGTGGTCGAGGGGGAGATGGATGAGCAGGAGAAAGGGAGGTGAAGGAGGAGGAGAAGAAGAAGAAGAAAGAAGAGAGGGAGTAGAAGAGGAGGAGGAGGAGGAGAAGAGAGGAGGAGGAGAGGAGGAGAGGAGGAGGAGGAGGAGGAGTAAGAAGAGAAAGAGGAGGAGGGAGAGAGAGGAGGAGAGGAGGAGGAGGAGGAGGAGGAGGAGGAGAGAAGAAAGAGGAGGAGGAGGAGGGAGAGAATTAGTAAATCAAATGAAAGGAAAAGTTCTACCAAAAATAAATAGACAGATATCAAAGAAAAAAATCTAGAGAGACAGAAAAGAAGAAAGTAGAGAAAAAATATTTATTTTCCCTTACTGCTTACACTGCAAATAGAATCATCTACATCAAGAGGTTTATAAGACCACAAAGCTTTTATCCTTTTTAAATAAACATCTTTGGTGTTACTATTTATATTATCTTATTTTTTGTCCTCATCTTCTCTCTCACCTCCTCTTTCTTTCTTTCTTTCTCTCGCTTTCTCTCTTC